CCCCTGATTTAAATCGATATTAAATTCTTTCAGATCTCTCCTAAAACACCAGATCTAGTGCCTAAAATCAGCTTCTAGGTGAGGAAAAATGTTAATTTTTAATGCTTCATTTGTCCCTTGCTCCTTTTAAGTATTTTTCCCACTCTCTGGATTTCTTCTCGCTGGCCTGAAGGGTGAGTTTTCCCCAGTGCATTAATGCAGTGCCCCATAGCATGTGCCTGGCATGCTGCTAATTTGTTTTTGGAACAAGTACAGGCCAACAACTTGACGCACTTTCAGCAGTGCAAGGTCTTCATGGCTGAAGCAACAGCTGAGTTCCCCACGTCTGAAATATGTGAAGAACAATTTGAGAACAAACTTGTCCGATGATAATCTCAGGTCACTGTTGATGTTAGGGACAACAAATCTAAAGCCAGAAATGTCTGCTATTTTGGCATCCAGGAAACAATTTCACCATTCACACTAATACAGGTGTTCATGTGTAGTGTATGAATGTGTTATTAAATAATAACTGAATAAAATAATATTAAATAAATAATTAAAAACAACATCCATGTTTTGATTGTTTTTTATTTGGACCTCAAGTGTGTAGTCGGCCCCCGAACTGCTGTTTGATAGTTAATGCGGCCCTCGGGCTGAAAAGTTTGGAGACCCCTGTAATAAACCATCTTGTTAGTCTTTAAAGTGCTACATAGTCCTGTATTTTGTTTTAGCTACACCAGACTAACACGGCTACATTTCTATCACTATAGGACTGGAAGGGACCTCGAGAGTCATCGAATCCAGTCCCCTGCCCCCATGGCAGGACCAAATACTGTCTAGACCATCCCTGAGAGACATTTATCTAACCTGCTCTTAAATATCTCCAGAGATGGGGATTCCACAACCTCCCTGGGCAATTTATTCCAGCGTTTAACCACCCTGACAGTTAGGAACGTTTTCCTAATGTCCAACCTAAACCTCCCTTGCTGCAGTTTAAGCCCATTGCTTCTTGTTCTATCCTCAGAGGCCAAGATGAACAAGTTTTCTCCCTCCTCCTTATGACACCCTTTTAGATACCTGATCTTCTCTTTTCTAAACTAAACAACCCCAATTCTTTCAGCCTTCTCTCATAGGCCATGTTTTCTAGACCTTTAATCATTCTTGTTGCTCTTCTCTGGACCTTCTCCAATTTCTCCACATCTTTCTTGAAATGCGGTGCCCAGAACTGGACACAATACTCCGAGGCCTAACCAGCGCAGAGTAGAGCGGAAGAGTGACTTCTCGTGTCTTGCTCACAACACACCTGTTAATGCAGCCCAGAATCATGTTTGCTTTTTTTGCAACAGCATCACACTGCTGACTCTTATTCAACTTGTGGTCCACTATGACCCCTAGATCCCTTTCTGCCGTACTCCTTCCTAGACGGTCTCTTCCCATTCTGTATGTGTGAAACATTGTTCCTTCCTAAGTGGAGCACTTTGCATTTGTCTTTCTTAAACTTCATCCTGTTTACCTCAGACCATTTCTCCAATTTGTCTAGGTCATTTTGAATTATGACCCTATCCTGCAGATTAGTCGCAACCCCTCCCAGCTTGGTATCATCTGCAAACTTACTAAGCGTACTTTCTATGCCAATATGTAAATTGTTGATGAAGATATTGAACAGAGCCAGTCCCAAAACAGACCCTTGCAGACCCACTTGTTATGCCCTTCCAGCAGGATTGTGAACCATTAATAACTACTCTCTGCGTATGGTTATCCAGCCAGATAGTGCAGCCCTGTTCTCCAGACCAATACACCTCTCAGCCATCACAAAACAGAAGGGTTTATTGAGCTTTGAACACAGCAAAGGGCCTGTAGGCCTGGCACCTCACAGCCCCTCATGTCTGAGTCTCCCCTGCAGCCTGGTAGGCTCCGCCTCCTCTGCTCTCTGTCCAGAACAGACCCACCGTCTTCCAGCAGAGCCTCCACTATCCCCCAACAGCCTTTCCCCATCCATTGTCCTCTCTCCAGTTGAAAGGGTTGCCTAGGCCCCTCCCTTCTCCTCTGTCCAATGTTCTCCCCTCACTGGAACAAGCTGGGCTGACACGGAGGTCTCCCCTCTGCAGCCCGTTGTCTGTCGTCTGGACGGAACTGGTTGTGTCCTCTGAGCGGGGTCTGCCAGTCACCAGACTCTGGGGCTCCAGTTTTGGGCTGTTCTCTGCAACAAACTCACTCCCTCTCCCCTTGCAGTATTAAACCAGTAACATCCCAGGGTGCTGAATGGCCCCCTCTATATGAAGCCCCCCTTTCAACCTCCAAAACTCCCCACTTCCTCCCACAGACCACACATCATTCCAATACAGCCAATATCTCACTCCTCATCTCTGTGGCCGAGTGATAACACAAGACACATTCACAGCCACAGTGAATGTAAACAGTTTTATTGAGACAGAGTTACATGTCTGACATACATTATAAAAATCTGTTTACACACTACAAAAAAAATTAGAGGATTAGCATTCATAGGAACAGACACCTTGGGGTGTGCAATCTGTTTTTCACCAGCTTTATGTTTGCTTTGATACCATACAGTAGAAGTGGCAACACGCTGAGATTAAATGGACGTGCTCTGTAGAGCACTGAATGTGGCCAAGCCTCTCCTGATGCTGACCATATGGATTAGGTTTTACTTTACTGGTGAAAGCATTTTAGTGTTTATAAAGTATCTGCACCGGTCACTAATGCTGACACTTCCGCGCCACAGCTCTGTCAATGCATCAACTGGGACTCTGAACCACACCAGCCCTTTTCAAAGCCCTGAGCCTCACCCGCAAGAACATCCAACCATGTCAAGACCACATGGAGGTTTGTGATGGGACAAAAGGTGGCCAGGAGGAAATGGAATTCATTTTAAACGTGAGATGCAAAAGCAGCATGGGTCACCATAAATGGGAGGCAAAGGCCTTCAGCCAGTGAGCCCTATCACTGCTGCATTACCCGGCCTTCATCCCCGCCAGATTCCTTTGCTATGTGTAAGTTTTGTTTATTAGAATATGATTCTTCCTGGCTTTTTACCAAACCACAAAGCACATCCAAGGGTGAGAACATCCATTCTTCAGGGCTGAACACCAAAGGAAGGTATGCCATACAAATCTCATATACAGTCTTGATTATGATTTGATTCATTGTCTCAAGTTATATCAAAAGTGTTATTTGTAGAAAGTTACATGAAATAATAGGAATACATATATTTAATGTTTCAAGCCTTTAACCCTTGAAACAAACCGATTTAAACAAAAGAGGCTCATGTTTATTACTGTTAAGGGGCCAGAAGAGGCTGGCATTAGTGTTTACAGGGCAATACAGTGAAGAAAATGACCTATGTTTGCAAACACAGTGATTGCGTTTAGATTAATTTCAACCCCCCAAACATGAGAAATACAAGGGACCAGCCAAGTGCAAATGGAAACTCCAAGGAAGAGTCCCCAATGTTAAGATAGAGAAGACATCTCTTATCACGCCCCCCTTTGGCTCTCTAACAGCAGATCTCCCTGGTTAAAGAAAAAAGCATCAGGAAATACCTCAGGATACAACAAAGTAAGTGGTTTGCCTTCTGAGGTAAGAAAATCCCTGGTAAAACAGGCAGCACATGGTTAAAAATCCGCAAGAAGGTAAGAACACTGCTGCAAAGGTTTCTACTAATACTGCTGCTTAACCCCTGCGCAGGAGCGGGATGCACAAGGGTTAATTTCAATTCTCTGGTTTGCTGTAGCCTTGCTGCTGGGCGAGTTACCCTCTTTTGGCGCATTTCACCTTGAGGCTCCCAAACAGACAACCCAGAAATGGTTCATTTTTGTTTGAAGAGGTAAAGGCACTTCAATGATGTGGGATTTGCAGAAGTCTAATGGGCTTACTGAAGAAGGTAACCCCTCCCATTTCCATCCCTCAAGCCCATGGAGCAAGCTGCACTCACCCACTTTCTCCTTCCCAACTTCGGGTTGCTCCCTTTTCCTGGCTGACTTCCCTGTATAACATAGAGAGTCATATCATCTCAGAGCCTTGCCTCATCCAGTAGGGTCACATGGCTTTGATTAACTAGGTGTCGGGGAGCCAGATGGATTCAGGAGAGAGTCATGCACAAGTAATTCGCATTTACAAAGACCCTGGGGGCAAACACAAAGCTCAGGTTGAGGATGTCAGCAGCCCCACGTCACGTTTCTGGATGGAACGTGCCAGATCACACTTGCTGCATGACTTCCAATTACTGGAGCTCCAAGAACAGCAAAGGAATGCTCTGCAGGAGGGCAAGGCCGAGCGTATCTTGCTGCTGCCTTAAACCGCTGTGTCTATTTGCAGGGGGTTTGCAAAGCCAATTTCTATAGCGTCAACAGCAGGGATGGTGGGAAGGCAGTCTGCAGTTACGCAACCCCCACACTCTATGGTGCAGCCCCCAGCATGCCATGGTCTTGGCTAGCAGGGACAAGATACAGCATTGCATCTGGGGAGAATCAATTCAATACTGAAGATGGCTGCACCATGCTCAGCTGTGGCAGCCTGTGCGTTGCCCTGAGGCTCTGAGCAAGCTGCCACTGTGGCCCCCCGGCGGAATTCGCATGCCCCAGTCTAAACAAACATTATATAAACTTTGTTCCTTGGCCTTCTTGTTCTCTGGCTTGTAAAAAATTCGGTAGCTTCAGCTATGCAACATTAAAGGGGGACGGGGCAGGCACTGAGGATCTAGCATTGCTCTGCAGCTAACTTTTCAGGATCTGCGTTCTTCATTTCACACGGAACCCAAATACAAAAATAAACAGAACTTGTTAGACGTAAATCAAAACCCCACAAGTGTTATAATTACAGAGTCACTTTGCAGAACACCATGTCCCTCCCTCTTTGGGAAAGGGAAGCCTGAAATAACAGTCTCAGTAGCGAAAACGTTTCTCATGTTAAATCCAGAAACTGTAAAAAATAAATTACTTTTAAGAAACAGGTTTCTCTGTACAGGTCTTAAAATTCATCGTGTCGTACTAAGGCTTCACCGAAGTCTGTGGCTTGGCTACCCACGAACAGGTCATACTTGTCAACAATCTCCTCCTTGGTGAGTTTGCCATCCTAAAATTTAAAAAAATAAATTAAGGTTCATCAACTTTATTATGCTAGTAGCTAAAGAGCAGCGAAACATCCAGTCCCCACTGAGCTAGCTGCTGGACACACACTAAGGATGTTAAATATCGAGTAATTTACTAGTCGAATTTCTATCGACTACTCAATAGGCACGTCCACATTCCTCCTTTGAAATGCACAAGAGCCCCCACTGGGGCTCTAGTAGATTTCAAAGCGGAAGCATCCTCATGGAGCCTGGGGTCAGCGGGGGACTCAGAGTCCCCTGCTAACCCCGGGCTCCATGCTGCACTGCCACTTTGAAATGCCACGCGCAGCCGGGGGTCAGCTGGGGACTCCCCAGCTGATCCCCTCTATGGCATTTCCCCAGCTGATCTCCAGCTCCGCGCAGCATTTCCCCAGAACCTGGGATCAGCTGAGGACTCCCCAGCTGACCCCGGGCTCTGTGCAAATGCTGCACTGGAACCTGGGATCAGCTGGGGATTTCCCCAGCTGACCCCCGGTTCCTGCAGCATTTCCCCAATGGCACTGCCACTTTGAAGTACCCCCTCTTCCCTCCACTTTTCTGCCTCTGATAGAGGCAGCAGGGGGTGAGGAGGGGAGGAATTGACTAGTCGACTCAACTATCTGATAAGCATTTATAAGACTAGTCCTTAACACACACAGCGGGGGGACTGTCCTAGCCCCTACACACACTAGACAGAGACAGGGTGGGGGCAGGGTAGAGTACACAAGCAGAGTGAACTATGTAAAATGTGTTGGTGGTAAATGTCATGGCTGTGTTGTGTGTTATGGGGGATTGGGGTAGGGTTTCTTTATGAGGGGATCAGCTAAATGGGAAGGAAAGGAAAAGGACAAAAGAGGGGAAAATGTGAAGAAAGAAGATGGGGGTGGGAGAGGGTTGGATCAAACAATCAGTGCAGGGCAGAAAGTCCTGTCAGCTGTAGAGAGTTCTCAAAATGGCTGAAGGGCCCAGTTTTCCTAGTCTGCTCCTACCAGCTGGAGTCTGGCTGAATCCTCTCTGCAGTATTCCCCACGGTCACATGGCAGGGAGCGGACACCAATAGGGCCCCAATTTCCTGCACAATTCCGAGAGCTCAGATTCACATAGCAGCCATGACATATTCCTATCCTCTTGGTCACATGGAGACAACCGTAGAGACCATTACAGGTTTTCATCCTTGGTATTTTGGGGAGGAAGGGCCCATCCCTATCCATTATGGCAGAGATATGGGTTCCTCCCCAGGCCAGAAGGAAACTTAATCACATTACTCAGTGAGGAGAGCACTTACCAACCTTTTTAAACCATCAGTGCTAGCTTCAGGAAAGAAGAGCTCCACAGCTATTAAGTTTCCTGAGGTAGGCCCCAAAATGACTACTGATGGAGCATCAGTGGTGATGCTCCCAGTAACGCCGGCTTCTTGCCATGAGTATAAAGAGATCCTCACAGACAATTCTGCAGTGGCTTCGGAAGCCTCCATCCTGCACAGAACAAGATACTGACGGGGACCAAGCTCTTCTCACCTTGTTCTGATCAGACTCATAGACAAGGTGTCGCGCCTCTGCCTCAGCATGGTCGTAGTCCGAAGGGAGTATCCAATCTTTCGTCTCCTCCTTGTCCATCTTCCCATCTCGATTCTTGTCTCTAAACTCCACAAACTGCTCCCGCTCGGTCTTCACCCACTCTGGCTCATCAGCATCCCCGTCATGACTGTACATATCCCCTGAACAAGAGCACAAGACAGATGCTGATGCAGGAACGTCCCTTCTTTGTTCCACTTAGGACTATGTAAGCCAAGTGTAAAGCAAGGTGGCTACATCGAAGTCAAAGGGAGAAACTGCAGCAGTCATCCTCATCTTCAATACAGATACAGCACCAACGGAAAGTGCTGAGCCCAGCATGCAGTACTACATCCCTTTTGCTGCAGGGTGCACCCTCTATTTTACATAGGAGAGGGGCCACAGATCTAAGGGGCTGCAGATTTTCCACCCACGGGTTAACATCAGAGTGGCCACAGTTTGGATCTCATTACTTTAGCGAGATTAGGCCAGACATTTAGGTTTAAAAAGGTTACTTTAAATATGCTTCGAGAAATGTTTAGATGGTCTATACTGGCATATATTTTCGAGTCAGACACATTTAACACCACACTTGTCCAATGCCAAAGCTTTCCATTTAAAGAAGTAAGAGCTAAAATAACAGCTGCTTTGCTACTACTGCCAAGAGAAGCAGCAGTGCTGTTCTGCAATTGGCAGGGCTCATCCTACATTAAGAGTAGTCGATAGATTTAGAGCAGATGTTTCCCTTTACCTAGGGTTCTGTGATCATATTGGCATTCTGTCCAGTTATTCCCAAGCAAATTATACGCATCATTTTATGTATGCAGTTAACTTGGAGTTACCCGGTAAAGACTGACAAGACCAAAAAAAAAATCAAACTCCATTTCAAAGTTAAGGAGGAAAGAGACCCATGAGAAGAACTCCAGAGAGTAGGTAAGAAAGAAAAGATTGAAGAACAGGGCTGTTTTGGCACAAATACTATTCACAAGAGACTGCAATATCATTTCATTTGGGAGTATCTTTTTACAAAGATGAGAAGACCCAAAGAGAAAAAACAGGCAATGGAGCAAGTTGCTTACCTATGTATTCTTCCAAATCAATGAAGCCATCTCTGTTCTTGTCAATATCTTCCATTGTTTCCTATTTAAAAAAAGAACTAGGTTAGCCTCAAAGTTCATGGACAAAAGAGGTCTTTTTATGGCCCTGTACCACTCAGAGAGGAAGGAAATGTATTTACTAGTACAGGCTGGACCTCCCTGTTCTGGCAGATTTAGGACCCGAGTGATCCCGAATTAAGGAGTTTGTTGGATCAGGGAAGTCAAGGTTGCTCTCTTGGCTGTGGGGGGTCCCTGGAGCCTGAGCTCCCTGCCTGCTGCTGGCCCCATGCTGGGGCTCCCGGGGTCAGCCTCCTTGGGCAGCTGCTGACCTGCTGCAGGGTACCCAGGGCCGGGGATTCCCCCCTGCAGCTGCTAGGCCTGCTGCCACCGGGATTCCCAGCTCCCTTGCTGCTGCCAGTGTTCACAGCTGCAGCTGGGGATTCCTTCCAGCTGCTGATGAGGTTTCCCGGGGTTGGACTCCCCACGCACCGAAGAACCAACCAGGGCTCCCCAGCACGCACGAGACTCCGGGCTGGCTTGTGTTCCTTACCTCCAGGGCTCTCTGGTCCAGCAACATCCATGGTCCTTCCAGACCACAGAAGTTGCCAGACCAGAGAGTCCTGGATTTGGGGGGTTCAACCTGTTGTTGAGTTATCCCCTGTATTATTAGACTAAGAGAACTCAATCACTGCACCTATTTAGCTTAAGCAGAAGGTTAAGAGGTAACTTGATCAGTCTATTCTATAAGTACCTACACGAGGAACAAATATTTAATAAAGAGCTTTCCAATCTAGCAGACAAAAGTCTAACACATTACTATGGTTGGAAGCTGAAACTACAAAAATTCAGATAGTAAATAAGGTATACAGGCAGTCCCCGGGTTATGTACAAGATAGGGACTGTAGGTTTGTTCTTAAGTTGAATCTGTATGTAAGTCGGAACTGGCGTCCAGATTCAGCCGCTGCTGAAACTGATCAGCAGTGGCTGAATCAGAACGCCTGGGGCAGAGCAGCTGGTAGCTGCC